CTTTACAAGCCACTATCTATGGTCTATAACAAGTCACTGGAAACAGGAGACCTACCAGAGAGTTGGAAGACAGCCAATGTTGTCCCAATCTACAAAAAGGGGGACAGGCAGGAGGCCCTAAGCTACAGGCTAGTGTCCTTAACTTGTATACCATGCAAGGTGATGGAGAAGATCGCGAGAAAAAGCCTGGTAGCACATCTGGAGAGAAGGGACTTAGTGACACACCGCCAGCATGGGTTCAGGAAAGGCAAGTCGTGTCTCACAGGTTTAGTCGAATTCTATGACCAAGCAACAAGCCTTAAGCAAGAAAGAGAAGGGTGGGCAGACTGCATTTTCTTGGACTGTCAGAAAGCTTTTGACATAAGAGACTACCCCATAAGAGATTGTTGCATAAATTGGAGAAACAAGCTGGAGTAACTGGTAAGGTGCTCCAATGGATAAGGGAGTACCTAAACAACAGGAAGCAGAGTGTTACTGTGAGGGGTGAGACCTCAGACTGGCGTGATGTCACCAGCGGTCAGCAAGTACAGGGCTCTGTACTCGGAGCTATCCTGTTTCTGATACGTGAATGATCTTCCAGAAGGTATAGACTCGTTCCTCTCAATGTTTTGCTGATGATGCTATAATTATGAGAAGGAGTAAGACAGAGGAGGACAGCAAGAGGCTACAGGATGCCAAGAAGGATTGGTCCAACAAATGGCTATTCGAGTTCTCAAGCAAGTGCAAAGTGATGGAGATAGGCGTAGGGAGCATGAGGCCAAACACAAGGCACCAGCTGGGAAAGGAAATTCTTCAGGAGTTGGGACAAGAGATATCTGGAGGTTGATATCACACCAGACCTGTCTCCCTGCAGCCCATATCAAAAGGATAACATCAGCGGCGTATGCAAGGCTGGCAAACGTAAGAACTGCCTTGAGAAACTAGTGTAAGGAATCATTAAGAACCTTGTATACCACATATGTCAGACCAATACTGGAATATGCGGCTCCAGCCTGGAGTCCACATCTAGTCAAACACAAAACGAAGTTAGAAAAGGTTCAGAGGTATGCCACCAGGCTAGTCCCCGAGCTGAGAGGAATGATCTATGAGGAAAGATAACTAGAACTGAACCTCATGACACTGAAAGACAGAAGTGTTAGGGGAGACATGATCACTACCTACAAAATTCTCAAAGAAATTGACAGGGAAGATATAAATAAACTAACACGGGTGGTACACGAACAAAGGAACTCGGGTGGAAATTTAGTACCCAAATGAGCCACAGGGACGTTAGAGAGAACATTTTCAGTGTGAGAGTAGTTAACAGATGGAATGCATTAGACAGTGATTGGCCAATGTTCCAACAATGTGTAAATATTTCATTCAAAATGATCTGCTACCAGAAATTGTAGCCAAATATCCCCAGTTTGCTAACTGTAGGTAGTAACTAAGTGACTGTAACCTATCCACCGCTGCCCACTGGATGGGGGGGGGGGGCGGTGTGCAGGACAAACATATCAATTGTGACACTAGCTCTCCACATATGTCAGTTGCTTAATTTAGAAACTGTACTTGTGGTCGATCTCGAACCCATTGTTGATGTGACGACTTATACTGAATTTTGTGGCTTATGAGATATTTGAGATATATACAGGAGTTGTTACATTCTTGTAGAGCCACTAGTACGCGTAGCGTTTCGGGCAGGTCCCTGGAATACGATCCCCGCCGCGAAGAATCGTTGTTACAACCAAGTACACATTTTACTGTTGAGTTAAACAGAGGCTACAGTTAAGGATTTGCGCCCAGTAAATCCTCCCCGGCCAGGATACGAACCCATGACATAGCGCTCGCGGAACGCCAGGCGAGTGTCTTACCACTACACCACGAAGACTGGGTTTATTAATTCACGAAATTAATTCACTGTGTCCCGGGACAGGAAGGCAAAGTGTATTTATAGACGCTTGGCTTTTATCGAGCCCCCCCCCCAAAGGTCGAATTATTGACCCCTCCCCACAGGATGCCACCCACAACAGTTGCATAACTCCCGGGTACCTTTTGACTGCTAGATGAACAGCGGCATCAGGTGAAAGGAAATATACCCACAACGTCTCTGTCCTGCCGCAGGTATCGAACCCGGGACCCGGTTGTGAACTCGGTCCTTCGGGTGTGACAGCACTGACCACCGAACAAAAATGATTCTCTTTTATACGACATTAATGTATTTGTTGTATATTGATAAGATTACAGGTTAATTCTGTCATGATATCGGGGGTTCACCGTCGCTTACATCATAGCTCTCAGTGACTTCTGAAAGCAATAATAGTTACGTCAGTCACTACAACCACCCACCAGTCGCTACAACCCCTCATCGGTCGCTACATCAACAAGATTGTAACCGATAAAGACAGGATTGACAGTATAACTTGCGAAAGTTTCCGTCCAATTTGCAGCCTAGCCAGCGAAAATGTGTCAGAGTTATCCATCTAAAGTTACATTTTCTATCATCTTAATAACCGTTACAAAGAATGTATGTTTGATAAACTAATGTAAATTGAATTTCTCCATTCTGACACAAAGAATAAAAAATAAATAGTTTTCTCGGGGACAAGCACCTACTGTATATATACTGTAAATATATATACCTTCTTGTGTGTATATATATAAATAAATAAATAAATTACATCAGTTGCCCGACTCCCAGTTATCTAATTACCGCTGGAGAAACAAGAAATTGAGTCTCGGTAGAACAATTGGGTTCATTCTCGACTCGCAATCGAGAATTTCGGGTTCGGACCCGGGGAGGAACGGAAGTGGTTTCCAATCACCTAATGCCGCTGTTTACCTAGTAGTAAACAGGTACCTGGGAGGTAATCAGATTGTTATTGGTGGATAACCCGGTGTGTAATTCGACCTTGCTGGGTGAAACCTCGATGAATATATACAATGGCTGCTTGTCCCCGACACAACGAATTATTAGTATTATAAAGAGAGTTCGCCAAGGTGTTGCCCTGCCTAAGAATCATACCCAAGGCCAATCGGTTGTGAGCCGACGACGATGACCACTGCGCTACAGGTGACCCAGTCATTTATAATATACATATTCATTAAAACAAGATGTCAGCGGCCCCTGCCTTCCCGGCCGGTGGATCTGCCCGCCCATCCCTCTGGACACAGGGGCCCCCCATCTGTGGCCCCCCCCCATCTGTGGGGCCCCCCATCTGTGGGCCCCCCCATCTGTGGGGCCCCCCATCTCTGGGGCCCCCATCTGTGGGCCCCCCCATCTGTGGGGCCCCCCATCTGTGGGCCCCCCCATCTGTGGGGCCCCCCCATCTGTGGGGCCCCCATCTGTGGGCCCCCCATCTGTGGGCCCCCCCATCTGTGGGGCCCCATCTGTGGGCCCCCCATCTGTGGGCCCCCATCTGTGGGCCCCCCCATCTGTGGGCCACCCCATCTGTGGGCCCCCCATTTGTGGGCCCCCATCTGTGGGGCCCCCAGCTGTGGGCCCCCCCATGTGTGGGCCCCCCCATGTGTGGGCCCCCCCATCTGTGGGGCCCCCAGCTGTGGGGCCCCCATCTGTGGGGCCCCCCATCTCTGGGGCCCCCATCTGTGGGGCCCCCATCTGTGGGCCCCATCCAGCCCACCCGAAGACCCTCACGTAATGAACGTGGAGGGTCAAACACTCTGCTGCCTCGTCGAGTCAGACAAAAACAAAACACTAGTCGAGTTAGACAACTGGTGAAGCTGGTAATATTGAACAAATTGAACACGAGACAGAAATGCAAGTAACCCGAGCAATTTAAAAAATATATGTAAGAGGAAATGAAGCAGAACGCGTAAAGGAGCAGGCAATAATAAATTTGAGAGATTATAAAATATATGACTTCGAGAAATAATAAAAAAATGTCACTATTTTTACGGGTTCCACAATCAATAAAATAATTTTTTTATAAAAGCAGCACTATATATATATATATATATATATATATATATATATATATATATATATATATATATGTCGTACCTAGTAGCCAGAACTCACTTCTCAGCCTACTATATGGCCCGATTTGCCTAACAAGCCAAGTTTTCCTGAATTAATATATTTTCTCTAAATTTTTCTTATGAAATGATAAAGCTATATTTCATAATGTATGAGGTCAATTTTTTTTTATGGAGTTAAAATAACGTAGATATATGACCGAACCTAACCAACCCTACCTAACCTAACCTAACCTATCTCTATAGGTTAAGTTTGGTTAGGTAGCCGAAAAAGTTAGGTTATATAGGTATAGGTAGTATAATTATAAAACTTGGCTTATTAGGCAAATCGGGCCTTGAATATAGGCCGAGAAGTGCGTTCTGGCTACTAGGTACGATATATATATATATATATATATATATATATATATATATATATATATATATATATATATATATATATATATATATATATATATATATATATATATATATATATATATATATATATATATATATATATATATATATATATATATATATATATATATATATATATATATATATATATATATATATATATATATATATATATATATATATATATTATATATATATATATATATATATATATATTATATATATATATATATATATATATATATATATATATATATATATATATATATATATATATATATATATATATATATATATATATATATATATATATATATATATATATATTATATATATATATATATATATATATATATATATATATTATATATATATGATTTTTATTTATTTATTTAGAGCGGTATAGAAATGAAAGAAAACGGAGGTAGTGGGAGGAAAACTTTTACCTATCTTGGCCCTTATACACCTTTCATGGGCCTGGCTTAACTCCTCCTCCCACGGGCGGAGAGGCCGTCCAAAGGGGCGTCATCGAGAGGCCGGCCCACCACCACCCAGCCTCTGTGAGCCGGCCTCCTCGCCCTCTCAGACCCCGTCTGACTCTCTCACACACACGTTAAGTGCCACCAGCCACACTACCCGGTCGGTAGCCCACGGAGGCGGGCCGTCTCTTCTGCGCCAGATGTCCTCTCGGTAATTCCAACCTCAGGCGCTCTACCACAGGCGCTTAATTCGCGAACGCGTGTGTAGAGAGCCTCAATTAAGTCTGTTTAGATAACCTACCAAGTGCCGGAAGTCCCTGTACATTGAGGGTTCCATATGTATGCTGGAAGGGACATATACAACAACAGAAGAGTCTGTATACAGTGCTAGGTGCACCTACGGATTCCACAGAGGACCAACAGTAACTATTCTCAAGGCATAATATCACAGGCCTCACACACGGTGCCTACATCACAGGCCAAAATCGAAACACATACTTGCCAGACATTACTAAACGTTCCCTATGCAAAGTGCCAGAAAACACCATTCATAGTGGCATTGGTGTCAGAAGACTTCACACAGTGGCAATAGTGTCTCACGGAACTAACCGCACCAGACTACCTGTATACAGTACCACAATATCACTGTTCTGGGAGTGCCTGTAGGTCCCCATTCACAGCACTGGCCAAACTTAAAAGGTAAGTTTACCTTTTTACTCACAGTACATCATTGTGTACGTGTAGTGTATAAACTACGTCATTCTTCACTGTTCGTCACTGCTTATACACTACCGGTGGAGACAACTATGCTATTAGGTTGTTTGCTCTGCTATAATGTTAGAAAATTTGTTTATAGAGATCAGGGCGAGACCAGGCCAGGGCCAAGCCAGAGCGAGGCCAGGGTTGGTCAAGCCAGAGCGAGGCCAGGGTTGGTCAGGCCAGAGCGAGGCCAGGGTTGGTCAGGCCAGAGCGAGGCCAGGGTTGGTCAGGCCAGAGCGAGGCCAGGGTTGGTCAGGCCAGAGCGAGGCCAGGGTTGGTCAGGCCAGAGCGAGGCCAGGGTTGGTCAGGCCAGAGCGAGGCCAGGGTTGGTCAGGCCAGAGCGAGGCCAGGGTTGGTCAAGCCAGAGCGAGGCCAGGGTTGGTCAAGCCAGAGCGAGGCCAGGGTTGGTCAAGCCAGAGCGAGGCCAGGGTTGGTCAAGCCAGAGCGAGGCCAGGTCAAGCCAGAGCGAGGCCAGGGTTGGTCAAGCCAGAGCGAGGCCAGGGTTGGTCAGGCCAGAGCGAGGCCAGGTCAAGCCAGAGCGAGGCCAGGGTTGGTCAGGCCAGAGCGAGGCCAGGGTTAGTCAAGCCAGAGCGAGGCCAGGGTTGGTCAAGCCAGAGCGAGGCCAGGGTTGGTCAGGCCAGAGTGAGGCCAGGGTTGGTCAAGCCAGAGCGAGGCCAGGGTTGGTCAAGCCAGAGCGAGGCCAGGGTTGGTCAGGCCAGAGCGAGGCCAGGGTTGGTCAAGCCAGAGCGAGGCCAGGGTTGGTCAAGCCAGGCCAGCGTGAAGCCAAGCCAGGGTAAGATTAGGCCAACAAGAATATAATAAGTTTAAATTGGTTCCCAATTGTCGGCGACAGAACGCCTCCTAAGTCAACAACTGACCTTCAAGGCAACCTGTTCTACAAATTACGTCTGAACTTGGCCGTTTGCCCGTATGGCCGAAAATAGACGTAAATTGGAAAAATAATTGAAAATAAATTTTGTATTTTTGTTTTCCAAAACAGCAAGTTAAGGGTCCTCTGGTAGGTTAGGAGGGCAAGAGGTTCTTCTAAGGTTTCAAAACGTCATGAAAACAGTTAATTGAAAGTTTCCTCTCCTAACCTAACCTAGTAAGCCGGAGGGTTCAAACAGAAAACGGGATAGTACATCACTCGTGAGCCGATTTCATTTCAAATTTCGTCCATTTTTGGCCATACGGATAAACGAGCGAAAAGCGATGTAATTTTAAGAGGACGGGTTGCCCCAAGACGCAATTTAAAATTTGTCAAACTCCCGGGTACCTATATACTGACTACTAGCTGAACAGAAGCATCGGGTGAAAAATGTATTCAGAGGTCTCCCTCCTGCCGAGGAAATCGGCTGCACTACCCAATGTTCTACAGATCCCAATGCAAATTTCGGCTCCAATTTCCCACGCTATTGTGATTGAAAGGTTTACTAAATCGCTCGACCTTGGAGAGGAAGTGAAGGGTGAGGGAGGGAGGGGGTGAGGGAGAGGAGAGGAAGGGAGAGGAGAGGGAGGGAGGGAGAGGAGAGGAGAGGGAGGGAGGGAGAGAGGGAGGGGAGGGAGGGAGGGAGGAGGGAGGGAGGGAGGGAGGGAGGGAGGGAGAGGAGAGGGAGGGAGGGAGGGAGGGAGGGAGAGGTGAGGGAGAGGAGAGGGAGGGAGAGGTGAGGGAGGGAGGGAGAGGGATGGTGAGAGACGCGGAGAAGCTGGCAAGCAAGGTGAGTGACCTAGTCAACCGGAGTGATAACACCTAACAGTGTTTACCTAACGGTGACTACAGAGACGTGAGATCTCTTTATTTAATGCCTGTTTGCCCCTTTTTTTTTGTTTTTTTTGGTAGTTCACAGACCGTAGAGTTTTCTGAACACTAGATAAGTCAGATGTTTACTTAATACTCAACTTCGCAGGTGTTTCCCTAACACCCAACTTCACTGCCGGCATTGGCAGTGCGTCGCGCTATTTATAGAACCCAATGCTGCCACTTTTGAGTTATATATAATCCTAAATGCTATTTATATCATTGTGTTGTTAATTCAGATGAGGTTCCCAAAATCTAGAAATGAGCCCCCCAAAATCCAAAGAAGAACCCCCAGAAAATCCAGAGGAGAAAACCCCACAAAATCCAGAGAAAACCCCACAAATTCCAGAGGAGAAAACCCCCACAAAATCCAGAGGAGAAAACCCCCACAAAAATCCAGAGGAGAAAACCCCCACAAAAATCCAGAGGAGAAAACCCCCACAAAAATCCAGAGGAGAAAACCCCCACAAAAATCCAGAGGAGAAAACCCCCACAAAAATCCAGAGGAGAAAACCCCCACAAAAATCCAGAGGAGAAAACCCCCACAAAAATCCAGAGGAGAAAACCCCACAAAATCCGGAGGGGCCCCAGTGTCCACCACAGCCCACGAGGCCAAATTTATGAGAGAGGTGGATTAGGAGAGGTGTTTGAGGGTGGGGTTGTGGGGTGCCACGTTCCACAAACATTTTTTTTTTCCTTTTCTACGTCAGCGCCTCCCCCATGATCTCCCCCCCCCTCCCACCTCACCTAGACCCTCCCCGCTAACTTACACGCCCACCTGACTAACTTGAACGACGACGGACCGCAAAAAAAACGCGATAACAATAACAATAACGATAACGCGATAACTCGATTATTTCTGGTAGTCTCGAGGAAGGTTCGTTTCACAGACCGAGTGTTCGAGTGAGAGGGTTCAGATACACTTAGGGATTGATTCAAATATGCGATCAGAGCGTTGAACTGTGTCTCGGTCGCCGCCAGGGCGTTGAACTGATTCCCCATTGCTGCCAGGGCGTTGAACTGTTACCCCACAACCACCAGGGTGTTGAACAGTTACCCCACAACCACCAGGGTGTTGAACTGTTACCCCACAACCACCAGGGTGTTGAACTGTTACCCCACAACCACCAGGGTGTTGAACTGTTACCCCCACAACCACCAGGGTGTTGAACTGTTACCCCACAACCACCAGGGTGTTGAACAGTTACCTCACAACCACCAGGGTGTTGAACAGTTACCTCACAACCACCAGGGTGTTGAACTGTTACCCCACAACCACCAGGGCGTTGAACTGTTACCCCACAACCACCAGGGTGTTGAACTGTTACCCCCACAACCACCAGGGCGTTGAACTGTTACCCCACAACCACCAGGGTGATGAACTGTTACCCCCACAACCACCAGGGCATTGAACTGTTACCCCACAACCACCAGGGTGATGAACTGTTACCCCCACAACCACCAGGGTGTTGAACAGTTACCCCCACAACCACCAGGGTGTTGAACAGTTACCCCCACAACCACCAGGGTGATGAACTGTTACCCCCACAACCACCAGGGTGTTGAACTGTTACCCCACAACCACCAGGGTGTTGAACTGTTACCCCACAACCACCAGGGTGTTGAACTGTTACCCCACAACCACCAGGGTGTTGAACTGTTACCCCACAACCACCAGGGTGTTGAACTGTTACCCCACAACCACCAGGGTGATGAACTGTTACCCCACAACCACCAGGGTGTTGAACTGTTACCCCACAACCACCAGGGTGATGAACTGTTACCCCACAACCACCAGGGTGTTGAACTGTTACCCCCACAACCACCAGGGTGTTGAACAGTTACCCCCACAACCACCAGGGTGTTGAACTGTTACCCCACAACCACCAGGGTGTTGAACAGTTACCCCCACAACCACCAGGGTGTTGAACTGTTACCCCCACAACCACCAGGGTGTTGAACTGTTACCCCCACAACCACCAGGGTGTTGAACTGTTACCCCCACAACCACCAGGGTGTTGAACTGTTACCCCCACAACCACCAGGGTGATGAACTGTTACCCCACAACCACCAGGGTGTTGAACAGTTACCCCACAACCACCAGGGTGTTGAACTGTTACCCCACAACCACCAGGGTGTTGAACTGTTACCCCACAACCACCAGGGTGTTGAACTGTTACCCCCACAACCACCAGGGTGTTGAACTGTTACCCCACAACCACCAGGGTGTTGAACTGTTACCCCACAACCACCAGGGTGTTGAACTGTTACCCCCACAACCACCAGGGTGGTGTTGAACTGTTACCCCCACAACCACCAGGGTGTTGAACTGTTACCCCCACAACCACCAGGGTGTTGAACTGTTACCCCCACAACCACCAGGGTGTTGAACTGTTACCCCCACAACCACCAGGGTGTTGAACAGTTACCCCCACAACCACCAGGGTGTTGAACTGTTACCCCCACAACCACCAGGGTGTTGAACTGTTACCCCCACAACCACCAGGGTGTTGAACTGTTACCCCCACAACCACCAGGGTGTTGAACAGTTACCCCCACAACCACCAGGGTGTTGAACTGTTACCCCCACAACCACCAGGGTGTTGAACAGTTACCCCCACAACCACCAGGGTGTTGAACAGTTACCCCCACAACCACCAGGGTGTTGAACAGTTACCCCCACAACCACCAGGGTGTTGAACTGTTACCCCCACAACCACCAGGGTGTTGAACTGTTACCCCCACAACCACCAGGGTGTTGAACTGTTACCCCCACAACCACCAGGGTGTTGAACTGTTACCCCCACAACCACCAGGGTGTTGAACAGTTACCCCCACAACCACCAGGGTGTTGAACTGTTACCCCCACAACCACCAGGGTGTTGAACTGTTACCCCCACAACCACCAGGGTGTTGAACAGTTACCCCCACAACCACCAGGGTGTTGAACTGTTACCCCCACAACCACCAGGGTGTTGAACTGTTACCCCCACAACCACCAGGGTGTTGAACTGTTACCCCCACAACCACCAGGGTGTTGAACTGTTACCCCCACAACCACCAGGGTGTTGAACTGTTACCCCCACAACCACCAGGGTGTTGAACTGTTACCCCCACAACCACCAGGGTGTTGAACAGTTA